ATCAAGTATGATCAAGTAATATTATTTTCGTTGTAGAATAAAACTTAAAATATTTCTAAATCAAATACTTTAAAATTAAGTTAGTGTTAGTCACAGGGTCGGATCAGGCCTTTATTTTGCCCGTAGTTAAAATTTTGTTGCTAGTTACATGAGTACATTTTTTCTAATTTTCAATAATTTTTGATTTTATTCGCTTTTTTTTATGTTAGTATAGGGTAAATTCAAAATTTAGAAAAATGAATTATAGTTGTCATCTGACTTAATATATTTAATTCAAGATTACAATGTGTTGTAATCTTGATTTAAATATTTTCAAACAAAGAAGAAGTGCCTTGAAAAATTTAAAGCAAAGAAGGCACTCTTGAAACGTCAGCGAATTGTTTTTGATTTATTGTTAAATATTTTAATACTTAATTGAATGCTGTTAAGTTTACCTGACTTGCATTCAGAGTCAAATTTGTTTGAATACCTACATAATTAGAAATTTTAGATTATACCCCGTAATTTTAATATTATCTGAATTTTTATTAAGAAATTTATTGTATGTACATATCCATGGACATATACATTATACGTATATATTTATAGCAGAACACTAAATAAATATTTCGCATATTCAGCACTTTTATAATATGTATCTTTAACAATGGAGCTATAGGTATTATCCACTATATATGTATGTACATATGTATTTATATGAAATACGTTAATATAATAAAAAAAAATAAAGTGTAACTGTTATTCTCTTTTTATCGTTGTTTTTTCATTATTATCATTTCCCATTAATGGAGAACCTACTTTAATATTTTGAATTATCAGAATGGGGAATGTAAAATTCTTCCACTTTTAATTTTTATTTTCTATATATATATTTTTTTTTTATAATTTTGCACATAACCTACACACTTAACACTTTATGAATTTCTTTATTCTTTTTTTATTTTATAAGTGCATCTACAATCGCCTATATATGTATGTATTTTTAAAAGTAAGTTTTGTAGTATAAGAATAGATTATGGATACGTGTGTATATTTGATTTTATTTGATTTATACAAATATTCATACATGTCAATACATTTCATATAAAAAAGGACAATCCAAAATAGACATTCATGTGATTTTGCAAAAAAAAATCTTTAATTCAAAAATATTTCGTATATTAATTTATTGAAAATAAATCCCTGTAATCAAACACTTCAGGCAATTCTAGAGTATGCAGTAATTTCGTATGTTTTTGTCGTTTTGCTTTTATATACATACATATTACATTACAAACTAATGAAAAAAATTAATTATTTTAGTTAATTGAAATATTTTTATATCCTCATTTGGTCACAAAACGTTACACTTAGTAGAATAGATTAATGTCGTGAATGTCAAATGAACCATTGTCTGAATAACAAAAATATAAAAGAGAAATATGTAGTAAAACACTAATTTTCAAGTGTTTTACACATTGCACAATATGCTAGCTAAGCTTAGTAATATGCATTATAAAACTCATAATTATAAAACTGTAAAATTACAATAAAAAATTCTATTCTTCAAAGGTTTTTGATTAATCATAAGACTTAAGTCTGCAAGGCACTTTTAATGACTATCTTTAATTGCATTCACTAAATGGATTGGCCCACTAACTAGATTTGCATATATAGAAAAAGCTCATGCTATTAAAAACAAAATATAAAAATAAATTTTCAACTGATAACAAGCCTGCCACTTATTTTATATATTAAGTCTCCTGGCACACCTATATGCTTCCTTTTAAAATGCGAATGATATGAAGTGAAATGATATGAAAATGAAAAAAATTAAAAAAAAAATTAAAAATTGTTTGAAGCTTTTTCTCATTGTCTTTGCAGGTTTTAATTTTTTTTATTGTTTTTATTATTCTTATTTTTTTAAATAAAGATAACAAAGGAAAAAAAAAAACAAAATTGCAAAGAAAAAATATCGAATGAATCGTTAAAATTTTTCAAAAGCATTTCACAAGTTATTAAATAGGTCAGGCACTTAGTGCATACTACAGGAACATTTACACAAGTATTTTTACAACACAGATTCATATATACATACATGCATTACATACAAAATATAGTATTCATATATATATATTAATGAAGTTTTAATGTGTGTATCAATATAGAGGGGGAGACTTGACAATAACGATGTGACTGACATAGCATAGGTCTTATTACGTGATAACTAAAAAACAGAATTTTAAATTGAGTCCCATAATAAGGTTGTTATAAATTTTAATAAAACGTGAGGGATTTGGAGTTCATATAGCATTATTATTTTTATATAAGCTTTTAAAAGTATATTTGCTTGTAATATTTTTTGTTTCTGTTTTAAACACATTTTTTTTTGTCTTGCTAATTAGTAATTAACTACAGATTCATTCGATTACAAAAACTCAATGATAATATTTTTGATACTTTATTTTAATATATTGAGTTCTCAAATATACCAAATAAATTCACTTGAAAAATCATAATAGTTTGATTATATTGGAGTATGTAATTGAACAGGTTTGTTTGATTTTCGACTCAATCATAATAAATTAATAAATTCTCTCTTTTTGTAACTTAAGACTTAAAACTATAAATATAAATACATATGTAGTTTTAAGTCTCGTAAGAAATTCTAGAAAAAAAATTCCAACTTTCGAATTTATTGTTAAAAAATAAATTTTTTACTTTTGTTCAAAATTTATGAAACTTAGTCTGCAACACGTTTAACAGGACGTTCTCATATTTCTATATTCTATAGTAAACAAAACTGAGATATTAGTAAATAAAATTGAGTTTTAAATATTGTGATTTTAAAAATAGTGTGGTTTCCTTAGGTTATGCTACTAGTACTAGATTTTGTAATTATTAACCTTTTTGTTATGTTATGAATATTTCTTGTAAAATGTTTCAAAAAGAAACCAGAAACGTTATTCTTGAAACGCTGATATATTTTCTAATTTGTTTTTACATTTAATTTCAGTGTTATCTTTGGATTATTTTGATGGGTAATATTTAAACAAAAAATGTCTTATATCTTCAATTAAAAGCTGGTTGAAAAATGTAAATTCAAATTTATGAATTTTTGTAAAAATGTTACTTTAAAAGAAATAATGTAGCCTAGCGAGGTATCAGTATATAGATCAGATTATTTTCATCTTCCTCAGAAAGACCAGGTGGAGCTGGAGTATCGGTTTGTGAAATTAATTGTCGAAGTTCATAAAAATTTAAACGGTATTATTTAAGTAACATTTTAAATACTAACTTAAATAGATATTTAAAATATAATTTTGCAGTTCCAATATTAATAATAATTTAAATAATGAAGAAAGTAAAAAAGATTACTTATACAAAAGAAAGAAAAAGCATAAAAAAAGAACGAGTTTACATTATAAAAAATATATGCATAATATCCATATGTATATATATATTTGCAATTATATCTTCAAACCTTACAATTATGTATACAATGAAAACTATTTTGTAATTATATATACGGACTTAAAAGAACAAGGAATAGAGGCAGCAATGCGAGCAACATTTTAATGTTGTTGCTCTCGAAATTGACTAATATAATCCGACTTCCATCACATTTTAAATTTATTTTTAACTACATCTAAAAAAATTTTTTTGTACATCTCAACCTTTTTACCAGTAAGCAAAACAAAAACATGTTTTATAAATTTTAGCGCATAGAACTCGCAAAATGATTGGTACAGTGGAGAATCTTATATCCGCCATCTAAATATCACATGACTCTGATGCTTTTCTGATGATCTTTGCATTTGTGTTTTCTGAAATCTCGTCTTCGAGAAATGGGACTTCCCTTCCATTGACATATTGAATGTCTACAAATAAGAAAAAAATTGTTTTTAATATATTATTACGTTTAATATCATTTACAAATCTTAGGGTAGTTGTCGAAAGTAAAATAGTGTGTTTTATTTAATTAATAGTTCCTCCGACCACCCGCTTTTCCATATCGGGTATCCCATACTTATGTCATGCAACTCAAAGAGTTTATTTTAAATATTTCAAAAACTAATAAAGGTGTAAATATAAAATTTTGTATACATGTGTCCAATTATATTCTACACATGCTCTAAAAATTATAATGAGATAGTTGCACCTGTTCGGGTGGCTGCCATACAACTCCTAAAGAAAATTTTTTATATTCACAAAAATAACAAAGTTAGATTCATGCAACTTGGCAGTCATGTGTCCAATTATAGGTTAGACATATTTCTGAAGTTTTGGTGGAATTGCTTGACAGACTCGAGTAGCGCCCATACAAGTCCAAAAGCTTATTTTAAATATTTGGAAAAATAATAAAGTCAGATTCATGAAACTTGGCAGTTGTATACAATTATTTATCAGATAAATTTGTGAAGTTTTAGTGGAATTGCTTCACAGATTCGGGTTCTCCGTGAAGTTTGAGATATATCTGTGAACTTTCTATAAAATGGTTTCGCAGGTACGAGTAATTGTTATACAATAACGAAAGGTGTAGGGTATAATTCAATCGGTTTTTACCGACTGAAACGTTTTTACTTGTTAAAATATAAAATATATATAATTGAAATTTTCTACTGAAGGTATACTATATACTGTTCGATACTTTCTTCCAAAATTCTTAGTTTTGCTAAAATACTTACAAATTCAAAAATGCTTTAAAATTATTTAAATAAAGTCTATGTGTGATATTAACTTTAATATTATAAAACGAAAGGGCTTAAAATAAACTTAATGCTATGTTAACAATCTTTAATAAAGAAATTATAACCAAGTTTATGTTCTTATACTCGTATGTAATATAATATGTAGTTAAATGTTAATGATAAAAGATATAATGAAATTTCAACAAACAATGCACCAGAAATGAACAAAAAATAACTTATCTATGAGATTTCATAAAACCAAATTCAACAATTAAATAAATAGAGCTAATAACAAAACCTAAATGGCTAGAAAATTTTTTGTAACTTAGATTCTCTTTGCCCACAACCTTATCAATATAATAAAAAAAATATTTTAAAATAATTTTAAATGCGTTCAAAATTTTATGTTTCAATTCAACCAAAGAATTAGCATCCTGGAGGTGTAGGAGTAGTTGGTGTTGTTGGTGTTGTCGGCGTTGTTGGCGTTGGTTCTGGCGTTGTTGGCGTTGGTTCTGGCGTTGCCGGCGTTGTTGGAGGACAATCTGGAGTTGGCTCAGGCGTTGTTGGTGCAGTTGGTTCGGGAGTTGTCGGTGTTGGTGGTTCAGGAGTTGTTGGCGTAGTTGGTTCGGGGGTTGCTGGCGGACACACTGGAGTTGTTGGTGTGGTTGGTTCGGGTGTAGTTGGTGTTGTTGGTTCGGGAGTTGGTGTTGTTGGTTCGGGAGTTGGTGATGTGGGCTCGGGTGTTGTTGGCGGACACACTGGAGTTGTTGGTTCCGGCGTAGTTGGTGTAGTTGGTTCGGGTGTAGTTGGCGGTGTTGGTTCGGGTGTAGTTGGTGTTGTTGGTTCGGGAGTTGGTGTTGTGGGCTCGGGTGTTGTTGGCGGACACACTGGAGTTGTTGGTTCGGGTGTAGTTGGTGTTGTTGGTTCGGGAGTTGGTGTTGTTGGTTCGGGAGTTGGTGTTGTTGGTTCGGGAGTTGGTGTTGTGGGCTCGGGTGTTGTTGGCGGACACACTGGGGTTGTTGGTTCCGGTGTAGTTGGTGTGGTAGGTTCTGGTGTAGTTGGCGGTGTTGGTTCGGGGGTAGTTGGTGTTGTTGGTTCAGGAGTTGGTGTTGTCGGCTCGGGTGTGGTTGGCGGACACACTGGAGTTGTTGGTTCTGGTGTAGTTGGTGTGGTTGGTTCTGGAGTTGTTGGTTCGGGTGTAGTTGGTGGTGTTGGTTCGGGTGTAGTTGGTGTTGTTGGTTCGGGAGTTGGTGTTGTGGGCTCGGGTGTTGTTGGCGGACACACTGGAGTTGTTGGTTCCGGTGTAGTTGGTGTGGTTGGTTCTGGAGTTGTTGGTTCGGGTGTAGTTGGCGGTGTTGGTTCGGGTGTAGTTGGTGTTGTTGGTTCGGGAGTTGGTGTTGTTGGTTCGGGAGTTGGTGTTGTGGGCTCGGGTGTTGTTGGCGGACACACTGGAGTTGTTGGTTCCGGTGTGGTTGGTTCTGGAGTTGTTGGTTCGGGAGTTGGTGTTGTTGGTTCAGGAGTTGGTGTTGTCGGCTCGGGTGTGGTTGGCGGACACACTGGAGTTGTTGGTTCCGGTGTAGTGGGTGTGGTTGGTTCAGGAGTTGTTGGTTCGGGTGTAGTTGGTTCGGGGGTTGGTGTTGTGGGCTCGGGTGTGGTTGGCGGACACACTGGAGTTGTTGGTTCCGGTGTAGTTGGTGTGGTTGGTTCTGGAGTAGTTGGTGGTGTTGGCTCGGGGGTAGTTGGAGTTGTTGGTTCAGGAGTTGGTGTTGTGGGCTCGGGTGTGGTTGGCGGACACACTGGAGTTGTTGGTTCCGGTGTAGTTGGTGTGGTTGGTTCTGGAGTTGTTGGTTCGGGTGTAGTTGGCGGTGTTGGTTCGGGTGTAGTTGGTGTTGTTGGTTCGGGGGTAGGTGTTGTAGGCTCGGGTGTTGTTGGCGGACACACTGGAGTTGTTGGTTCCGGTGTAGTTGGTGTGGTTGGCTCTGGAGTTGTTGGTTCGGGTGTAGTTGGCGGTGTCGGTTCGGGTGTAGTTGGTGTTGTTGGTTCGGGAGTTGGTGTTGTGGGCTCGGGTGTTGTTGGCGGACACACTGGAGTTGTTGGTTCCGGTGTAGTTGGTGTGGTTGGTTCGGGTGTAGTTGGTGTTGTTGGTTCGGGAGTTGGTGTTGTTGGTTCCGGTGTAGTTGGTGTGGTTGGTTCGGGCGTAGTTGGTGTTGTTGGTTCAGGAGTTGGTGTTGTCGGCTCGGGTGTGGTTGGCGGACACACTGGAGTTGTTGGTTCCGGTGTAGTTGGTTCTGGAGTTGTTGGTTCTGGTGTAGTTGGCGGTGTTGGTTCGGGGGTAGTTGGTGTTGTTGGTTCAGGAGTTGGTGTTGTCGGCTCGGGTGTTGTTGGCGGACACACTGGAGTTGTTGGTTCTGGTGTAGTTGGTGTGGTTGGTTCTGGAGTTGTTGGTTCGGGTGTAGTTGGTGTTGTTGGTTCGGGAGTTGGTGTTGTGGGCTCGGGGGTTGTTGGCGGACACACTGGAGTTGTTGGTTGCGGTGTAGTTGGTGTGGTTGGTTCTGGAGTTGTTGGTTCGGGTGTAGTTGGCGGTGTTGGTTCGGGGGTAGTTGGTGTTGTTGGTTCAGGAGTTGGTGTTGTCGGCTCGGGTGTTGTTGGCGGACATACTGGAGTTGTTGGTTCCGGTGTAGTTGGTGTCGTTGGTTCTGGAGTTGTTGGCTCGGGTGTAGTTGGGGGTGTCGGTTCGGGTGTAGTTGGTGTTGTTGGTTCGGGAGTTGGTGTGGTTGGTTCAGGTGTTGCTGGTTCGGGTGTAGTTGGTGTTGTTGGCTCAGGAGTTGTTGGTTCGGGTGTAGTTGGTGTGGTTGGTTCAGGAGTTGTTGGTTCGGGTGTAGTTGGTGTTGTTGGCTCAGGAGTTGTTGGTTCGGGTGTAGTTGGTGTGGTTGGTTCAGGAGTTGTTGGTTCGGGTGTGGTTGGTTCAGGAGTTGTTGGTGTGGTTGGTTCAGGAGTTGTTGGTGTGGTTGGTTCAGGAGTTGTTGGTGTAGCTGGTTCGGGCGTTGTTGGTGTGGTTGGCTCTGGCGTTGTTGGTTCGGGTGTGGTTGGTTCAGGAGTTGTTGGCGTTGCTGGTGTAGCTGGTTCGGGCGTTGCCGGCGTTGTTGGTGTGGTTGGCTCTGGCGTTGTTGGTTCGGGTGTAGTTGGTGTGGTTGGCTCCGGAGTTGATGGTTCAGGGGTAGCTGGCGTTGTTGGCGGGCATTGTGGAGTTGTTGGTGTGGCTGGTTCAGGAGTTGTTGGTGTTGTGGGTTCGGGCGTAGTTGGTGTTGTTGGTGTAGTTGGTTCAGGCGTTGTTGGCGGACATGCCGGCGTTGCTGGTGTGGTTGGCTCGGGAGTTGTTGGTGTTGTTGGTGTAGTTGGTTCAGGCGTTGTTGGCGGACATGCCGGCGTTGCTGGTGTGGTTGGCTCAGGAGTTGTTGGTTCGGGTGTGGTTGGTGGGGTTGGTTCAGGAGTTGTTGGTGTTGTTGGCGGACACTCTGGAGTTGTTGGTGTTGTTGGTTCGGGAGTTGCTGGCTCAACTGGTGGTGGTGGGCAAGGTAAAACACATGGTGGCTTATTAGTTATGGCACTTTCAATTTTTCTTAGTTCGTAAATTTGTTGCCACACTAAAGCTTTTAAATCCAAATCATTACAGCATGGTGGTGTTATTACCGGTGGAACAGGTTGCGGTGAACAAGGAATTGGTGTAATTTGTTTTTTATATCTTGTTATGTCTAGCGGTCCAGATAGACAGGTTGTCAAAATGGATAACAAAAATAATAATATCGTTATTTTCATGTTGTATATTTTTGATATACAAACTTAAACTAATGTTTTAATAGTTTAATATTGAATTTATATAAAAATTAAGACAAAAATTATAATGAATATTACGTGTAATAATTTAACATTACTGAATGTCAATATATGTAGTTGTTTTCTTTTCATGTGCACATTATTTCAGTGTCAATTTCATGGTTACAGAAATATTTCATAAAAATTCAAAATAAAAATTTGTCAGAACTGTTCAAATTCTTATGTTTTGCTGATTGGGTAAATAATTTTTAAGAAATTAATAGTTAAATTGTAAACTTATTACGTATAAACATTCTGACACTTGTTTAAAAGAAATCAAAATAAATTTGTTAAAAATAAACACACAAAAAAAAAAGATTTTATACATTATTTTAGTCGCCGGTTGTAATATCTTAATTTTGAATTTACTTATAACCACTTAAACCCGTATGTGTTTAATATACATGTACACACAATATATACATATGCACATCAATATTTATTTTTATTCAATAATTTAACTATATTATCTTGCAACTAATTTTTAAAAACCTTAGAGCTAAATTAATAGCAAATTTTGGTTTCGAATCTATTTTGTTCAAATTTCTATTGTTTTCAAATCTCTACTTTTGTTTTCAAATCTCTATTTTTGAAAAAAAAAATTTAAACAAAATATATTTAAAAAAAATATAATTAGAAATGTAATTAAGAGATCTCAATGGTAGTCAGAACAATTAAAAAATATGCATATGATTTATTTTCGTATCTTTTTACATACTTAACGTAGTCCGTAAAGCAATGTAAGTCAGCATTTTTTAAGCTACAAATTTTTTAATTGAAATGCTAAATATGCGTTTTCTTTGCATTTTTTGTTATACTAATAATTATCTGTATAATTTTTTTTTTATAAATGAAAGTATAAAATCAAACTTAGATAACAGTTTTCTTTTCTAAAATCTATAGATAATGAAAGAAAATGATATTGTGTAAGTAAGAGTTTTAGTTTTTACGGTAAAAACCATATCATAAACATATTTTGCTTTAATTTATTTTTCATATAATTTCAATCATATAATTGATTAAAATTCGTTTTTTTTTTGAAATTTTTTTTTTGTTCTTGAAACAAAAATGTTTCAAGAACAAAGAAAGAAAAATGATAATGTCAGCCCATAACCGACCGCATTTCCCTTTTGTTTTTGCATTATAATTTCAATTTCAATTTTAGTTGACAGTCTTTTTTGAACGACTATTTTAAATTCTAGCTGAATTTAAATAGAACGTCCCAAAAAATGATACTGTCGACAATTAGAAAGGAAATTTGAAAATTTTAAGAAATTATCTTGATAGTTTTGGTCATATTGACAAAAACAGCCCGCATTTGTAAAATTTTAAGAAAATTTGTTGATATTTTATAAATATAAATAATTTTCGAAACACTCTAACTGTTGTAATTGTGCGTATGTACAAATTTAATTGAAAAGATTGTAATTCAATTTAATTGGATTAAAAAAATAAAAATTTAATTTGGATTTAAATCAGTTCAATTGTAAATTTTAAACGTAAAATTTTATCATTTCTTAATTTCTTGAAATGAAAAGTATAACCAATCAAAACCGAAAATTGTCATAATAATTAAACAGACTATAAGGCAACGTGTCCGTGTTCAAATGACGAGACACAATAGTATTATTGTATGAAAAAAGAACAAACAATTCATGTAATTTATTTTAATCATTATATTTCTTTTTAACTTTATGTAATTTTATACACTTAAAATTTAACAACAAATGAATTGTAAAATTCTTTTTATTAACGCTCATACAATAATAAAATATAAATTGAATTCAAATTTCAAAGGGAATAAATTGTTTCAAATGATTTGAAATTAATATATGAAATACGATAATGCCATAAATCTTTAATTTATAATTAATTTTTAAAGGATAACCAACCGGAGTTTAAACTTTAATATACGAACTTTTCCAAGTACATATGTTTAATCTCTCCCTCTTTTTCTGAATTGCTCAACATTATTTTGTACAATAAATTACGACAGGTGAATAAGATTTGTAGAAAAAACACAATTTCTTATTATAAGATTAATTTATTTAATTATATAATTAACTTTCATGTTATACAGTTAAAGATTAGTATAACATAGAGAAATTTAATATTATATGGAATGTCAGGGCAGAATAATAAATTTCTTTTGTCTAAGTAAATATTCTCATTAAGAATTTCCAAATGAATTCTTTAATATTCAATAAACGTTCTGATATTCAAGAAATACTAAGTTGTTTTTTTTTTAACTTTTATACCAAACATACTTAAGAAAAATATAAACAACGTCTTAAAAAACAAAAATAAAATAGGCAGCAAAAAATAAAATTTTATTGGGCGCATCATGTAAACGAATTGCTAACTATTTTTTTTTCTGAGGATACTTTCAAAGTTAAATAGATTCACAGAGAAAAAGGATAAGGCTGCTACATTTCTATATTTGTAGTATGTGGTGAATAGAAACAATATCTCTCTTATTGAATAAACGCAAAACAGCCGCAATAATTTATAAAGTGAGTTCCAGTTAAAGAGTCTTAAGCTCGGCAATTAACCTATAAGTACTAGTAACGGGCGGCTAAGAAGACAATCAATTGCATATTATGCTCATTTAATACTACATAGCTAATTTGAGAGCATTTTTCATGAACCGCTGACTCTGAATGAGCTTAGGCTGCGATTATTTTTCAACCCAGGCGGTAAGCAAAAGAAAGAAGAATCAATATTTCTATCCCAGGGAAACAAGCTACCCTTACTTGGGCATAATGAGTATTTATGTGATTGCAAGATGACCATAGGAAGATTCCTTAAAAAAAATTGATTTCAAATACAATTTAGGTGTTGTCCTTTGAGCTTTGTAAACGGATTTTTCAATTATATGTTCGAGTTTAATATTTTTTAAACAATTTTCTCTTATAAACTTTAATTTGTTTTTAATACACCCAATTGCTCTTGCACAGACTCATTTCATTAAAAACCCTCAACATTTTTAAGTAAATAATTTAATACTATCGTTGTATGTATATAACAAAACATTGTTCTTTTATTTTTTATAAATTCTGCAGAATTTATTCTATTAACAGCTTTGGATATAGAACAATATATGTACCTAAAAGATACACATACATCGATATGATGTTGTGCGATAGCGAAATTTTCGAACTAATATTATACTTAAATCATTTCAATATACAAGCACATACACACCATTCTACATAACCAGTTTACATAGTAATAGAATTTACACCTCTTTCTTTTCTAAATTTTTTTATCTATCATATTAAAAATTCCGTACGCATCTATAAGAGCTTTAAAAATTGCAAGCTATTCAAATATACTAAATGATGATTCTTTGGCACAGGTGAAAAATAAAAAAAAATTGTAATTTAAGAGATTTTTTCTTACATTATGACAAAATTTTCGTGTTTAGGCACCTAAGTAATATGGAAAATTTTTATATACATACCAAATTTAATGCGAAAAATTCGATTGTATGTAAGGGAAATAGATCTCAGAGATACAGGTATAAAAAGAGTAAAAAAATTTGTTAAAAAGACTAGTAAGAATGTGACAAATTTTACTTGACGGTATGCGATTTTCCCTTATTTCTGCAACATTTTTCTTTCCTTCTTATTTAAATTGTATTCAAATCAGGTACCTATGTACTTATGAACCTTTTACTTATATTTTATTGTAACCTATATATTTATGTAGGTAGACAAAAACAAATAATATTATATTTGTTTAAATGTCATACATGTATATACATACATAGTTATGTTCACACGAACATTTTATTGATTTGTTCTCACAGGTGTTTTAATCAGTTGAAATTTTATGCTATTTACATTATGTATATATTTATTAGAAAATTGATGCCTGAATATAATATAGAATTTAAGTACCTAAGAGGTTATTGTGTGGTTATAGAAGAGGTTTTTACAAGAGGAGCAAATAAGAGAAGCTTGTGTATCATTGTTATTTTCTGTATTATAAAAGATCCTTGAATACCATATATAATATTTATTTTCCACTTTTAGGGATTTTTGCTATATTCCTTTGGTTCATATTGTTGTTGTTCTACAGGCATCGAAATAAATTGAGTTGTTTATCATTCTATCTTTTATTGTACTAAATACTATAAGGGTTAACATATTAATGAGATTGTTGTTCTGGGTATATATTTAAATATTTTGATATCATCATTATTATTGTACATTAAAAAGGTAATATTATCTAATTAATTAAAAAATTAGGTTAGACAAATATTTCAATATAAGAATGAAATCATTTACCATTAAATTACACATATTTAATTATTAATACACAATATATTGTAAGATCATTATTATCGTTTAGATTTTTAATTCAAATGTGTAAACATTTGTAATTAATATTAAAAAAACCAAGATAATATTTAATAAAACTTTTAAGAATGTGTATAATAAAATGCTATTAATGAAACTTGTTTAAAACTTATTAATAATTAATTTAAAAAAAATTAAGTTAAGCCTCGATCTTTACTAGAAATAAATGTTCGTATAGCATTAACAATTATTACCTCTAAAAAAAATTTACAGTGGAGACTGTTGAAAAAACTTAGATTTTTGGTGTTAAGCAAAAGATGACGTCAACTGTGCAAAATCTTTACTTATGGTAACAAGAGCAAAAAGTTACGAAGAAAGTATGTATATATCCCTAGTGAAGTAATCTATCTAAAAAAAATCTTCCAAATTACTACACATATATAAAATTATTAAGATTAGTATAAAAGCTTATTTTGTAAAAATTCCTTGGACGCAATTATAAGTCAAATGAATTTAATCAATGGGCTTATTATGAGATGTACATGGTCACAATTATTAAAAAAATATTAAAAAAATTAAAAGGGCTCTTTCATGACAATAATCATAATAATAATTTCGTTTAAGAAATTTCAAATTTAT